CAAAACGGGTTTCTCTTCAAAAGCTTGGTGTTTAAACAAAACAGCTGAAACATAAAAATCGCCCATAGAGAAGGTAGTGTCATAGCTCAGGAGTTGCTCATTTTTACTGTTCATTTGGAGACTGTCATTCAGTTCTTGTAGCATTTCCTCCATTCCAATAATAGCAATTAAATCTGGAAATGTGGCAATGAAATGAACAAACCCCTTATCTTCATACGCAATAGCTTGTAAGTTTATTAAGGCATCTTTTGTTGGTCTTTCATCCGATTTAACTTTTTCTTTTAGGTAGTGAATTTGCCGAACATTTCTTGGCATGTCCGTGATTTCCGCTTTCTCATCCGTGACAACTGATTCTTTATAAATTTTGTGAGCGCTTTTGTCACTGGACTTTACATTTTCTTGAATTTTTTTGATCACGGAGGGTTTAATTCTCACGGAAATTTTTGTTTGTTTTGTGCTATTTCCGTGCGCCTTTGGTTTTGAGAAAGATGCATCTCCAAGATAGTGAATCACGGCAATATTTTTAAAGTTCGATGATAAAGGAACATACACTTCTTTCCTAAACCTTTTGTCTGTAATTCTTTTTCTCCCCTCCGTACCAATATGCAAATAGTAATAATACTTTTTTAATTCTCCAGAGTTCCCTTTCACTTTCCGGGTTCCTTCACATGAAAAGCTACGCATAAGAAAGGAAAGAAAGATAAGAGATAGAAAGAAGAGAAAATCGATAGATTAAAAAATATAAGAACCGTTTTTTACAGCTATATATTTATCAATTATAAATCTTTGAAATATACCTATGTCCGTCTGCAACCCAATCTCTATTCTCCATTTCATTTGTAGGATGAAAAACATAAACTTCGCCACCTTTTGGGCGAAACGGCATTTGTGAATTATGTTCTTTATATAATATCAAATGTTCAACATCTCTAACACTAAGGCTAGAGTGCCTATTCGAAATAATAGGTTGAACTTCTATAGCTTTATCGTCATCCATCTCGCGCCAAATCCTAGTTCTTATTTGTGACGTCACCGTGGATACCATTGTTACGTATACAGTAAAGCTATACGGATTTCCGTAAACTATAAAAGTTAAATGATAATAATTACTACGGAATAGTTAAAAAAAATATTATCCGTAATATAAATTTTCCGTATTCCGTATATAAAACTTTATCCGTGATTTTTCTGTATTTTGTAAACTTATTTCCGTATTCCGTGCATCCGTATTCCGTGACTTATCCGTGTTTTGTCAACCTCCCCGTTTACTGCGCATGCGCGGTCCTCTCCAATCATGAAAACTTCCCAAGCATTTTTACCCATGACTACAGACGACAGGTACATTCTATAATTAAAAAAACAACATATATTTGATAGTTACTTATCATTGAACTGTATAACTTGACCCATGTAGGTGAAATTATGTAATAAAGAAGAGTGAAACAGCTATAACAAGTTAAACGAATGGAGGTGTTCGGAAACTTCCGAAATTACTCCCTGTCATGATTATAAAGTCACTAACTGCAATATTTAATTTTTATAACAATGAATTCAGTGAACAGATTAAATAAATCTTCAAATGATTGATAATATTCTGATTTTTGTTGATAGAATTTCTCAATTAGATGGTTTGCTTATTTGATTGATGTTCATAACCGAATATTGCTGCTCTATTATGAATATGTGTGAAAAATTCTCGAGAGGGACGTTAAACAACATACAATCAATCAATCAATCAATCGATCAATCAATTAGAATACTGTGCACATCAATGACATGTTGCACTTTTCAACAAATTTAATTATGTTTTCATTTAGATACTGTGAAGTGTGAAATCACAAATTTTCGTGGGGGGTTAATTTTCGTTCTTTTTTGAGGAATGACAAGAGCCATGAATTCATGTCCACCACGAAATGTAAATTGTTATACATACATAAGTACTCATTAATCCTTGATCCATGAAGTCAAATCCCCACGGACCATGAGATTTTCCTCAAATCACAAAAATTTGACCCCACAAAAATATGTGATTTTACAGTAATACATTTTTAAAATAATTATTATTTTAGAGTGCAACTATATTAAAAGTGGTGATATTTTCAAATTCCAAATATCCACAAAATGATGTTCCATTTTATTAGAATGGTTAATTGTTCTTGATTTAAAAAAAATTATTTCTTTATTCTTCTGTCAAACTTGTAATATAACTTTAACTAATTTATAAAGATCAATTAGTCATTTATATAGCAAACTCTACATCAATTTTTGCAAGCAAGGTGGGATTCGAGCATATTTCTGAGCTCAATAAAAGACGGGCATGAATTGATACAAATGAAATATCAAGAGCATTAATTATGAGTAATTTAATACATCATTAATTTTATTATTGCTTTCATCAATTTTATATCATGGAGGAGAGCAAATGAATCTATCCTCCAATATTTTTATCAGATTGGTATTTAATATTAATAAGTCCTTTTTAATGGTAAAAGAATAATTGTACAATGCACCATTTTTTTTTTCAAAAGTTAATTGTGCCATCTGAATTCCCCCAAAACACACATGAACACAAGCATGGGTGGGAAAATTACATTGTTAGAACATGATAGGACATTTCTCCAGCAAGTAATTTGAAATAATGATTTGATATATTAAGCCTTCGAAGAAAAGTCATGAGAAAGGCAATGTAGAACCATCAGTGTTATAGACTAAATTTTACTTCATCTTCCACATTTTAATTAAACATTCAGCTGTGTTGATAATTAATGGGCAGAACTTTCTGAATACCGGTATTAAAATTAATGTTTAAAAAGTTATTTCCAGTTTAAAGCATTTTCAAAGTGTTAAAAGATGATCAATGAAGAATGATGAGGAATTAAAACAGCTAGGATGCAAAACTCCCACACTTCCAACACTTTTTAAACTTTTATGTTTACCAGTGGAAACATTTATGGTACAAGTAAGCGCTTTGTTAAAACCATTCATCTCTTCATTTTTTTTATCTTTTGATTTACATAATGAAGGTCTTGGGACATCACGATGAGAGGGAGATGAACACAGGAAGGAGAGGAGGATCATGGGAAAAATAATCTGTAGGAGGACCGTGGGAGTAGAGTGGCAAAGAGGACAGGAGTACATGTAATAAAGTCTCACCATTCAGTCTAAGGTGCAGTTGCTGCCAATTCCGTTTCTTGATTATTGTGATGACAGACATTTTTGATTCAATTCAATTTAAAGATACTTAGAGGAAATGATATTTAGCTTAATTTTAATGATTGAGTCATATCTACGTGTATATGTGAGGAAAAAGCCCCAGAACTATCATAGAGCTCAATTTGCTTTCAAAAAATTAATTTTTACATTTTGAGATTATGTTCTATACCTCTCCCAATAAGACCTTTGTGAGATTCATTTAGTAAATGTTATAGATTGTTTTGATTCATATGTGATAGCAATGAAATAAAAAACTGACAGAAAAAAATATCAATAAAACATTTTAATCAAAGCCAGGCATGATTAATAATGATTATTACAAGAAATTTCTTTTAATACTTGGCCTCGTCTAGTGCAGATATAAAAGTTGAATTCAAGAAATAATTATTGTTGTTGAATTCCAGGAGGGAGAAATTTCCTTGTCTAAATCCTTATTGGATATTTTGAACCGTGTAAGGAAATGCCACGAGATGAGTTGTCCCAGGACTTGATGGAATCCCCAGAGAAGTGATAAATTCCTGGACGTTTTTTTTTTCCAGTCGCAGGACAAGACGTCTGTTTAATGTTCCTGTACGTATCGTCATTTCACTCTGTTTTAAGTATTGATCAGCTACAGAATTGATAAGTAGGATAATCCAATTGCGACAAATGAATAGATCAGAATCGGTTTTCTCGAATTGGTTGTAACTACGGAGATAATTACAGGTGAAAGACACCCTGTACTGAGATAAACTGTATCTGCCAGTCATCAAAAGTTGTGGAAAAATAATTTAAGATGAGATCAAGGACATAGATTCTTTTACCGAAGGTTGCCGTTTTTTTCTGATCAATACCATATTCTGTCATGAAACATGCTTCTAGCATTGCTCTCAATAGTTAATAAGCTTTTTCTCAGTATTTGTTTTTTTTTCTATTAGTGATTAACGGAGCATCAAACCATCAAAATAAACTCATCTTTCATATTGAATTTGGTATTTGTAACGGATTGAATAAGATCGTATTTGAATAGGCATTGGATCTTTTTAAATTGACATATCTAAAAAATCTTATTACTATCATAGTAGAACACTCTTTTCTTAAGCAATATATTCCAATTGAATTTTGTTTTGTTTTTTTTAAATGCTCTTTTTATACAAACTAAACAAGTTTTATTCTCTTGAGATTTTGTTAATTAGGTGAGAGTCCATAAGAACACCCCTCTGGCTATGGTCTTCATATGTAAGTATAGCTCATAGATTATAAGAGAGACTGAGTCTATATGAAATGTGATCAGTGTGGATGCCGACTGTATATAGTTAAAACCAATAGTCAAGCTCGCTATCGGTATAGAGTGTTTAAATATTTAACAGTAGCAATGCAGAAGCTACACGGTATCGTCACAGTGAAACGGTGAATAGATACTATTTAAATACCCTTCTGAGCAAGTTGTCATCCATTGTGGACTCTACAAAGATTTGTAAATACAATCATGTAAATGTAGAGGTAAAAAATGAACTCGGTATGTGACTTGGGGTTCATGGAAAAAATGATCGGAAAAATATGTATAAGTGTGATTCTGAATCCAGTTTACTGTCAAAGGTTCCTTCATCTGTGAACAGAACATTATTTTGGGGTCTTTCTTAATACCCAGTGTTTGTTTTATTAATAGTACCCATGTAAGTATTGCATGAAGATTCGCATTGGACTTTCGAGCCTTTACCATATATCTGTTTTTTTGTGAATTGCAAAATCGGTCGTAGCATTAGAGAGGAATTTTGGAGGAATCGGGACAGTTGATACTTATTCTGATGTTTAGTGAAGTTTGACCTTTGTAATAATTAATCCTCGTTTTAATTGTCAGTGTTTCCTTTGGATCATGGCATTAATTCTGCATCTGAAATATGCTGAGAACTTAAAGGGAAAGTCTGACCGATTGGCCAAGGTGTCTTTTAGAGGTAAGTATTTACCCTGATCGACCATGTAGAAGGTTTTAAATAGGATAATACCTGTCCCTTTCATAATTTGAGAATAATTCATGGCTGAGAGAACACTACCCCAAACACCCTATTTTGATAATGTTATTGTACAATGTCTTTACCTTAGGGGGCATATTAAAACCCAATTTTAAGGTCAGCAAAAATAAAAATTTATAAATTTTAAGAAATAAAATGTACTCTACAGAGTTTTTTTTTTTAAAATTAAGTGTATACATTTTTTGTGTAACATTTGCAAAGTGAAAATTGTCCATATTAGATTGTGTTCCTAATTCATTTACTCTAGAAAATGGTGGCCCATTGAGTTGCAGGAAATAGTTTGGTAATTGAGTTACCATGTACCTTTAATTGTCTAGAAAAGTTACCAATGTGTTAAAGGAGCCTTCAAAACCAATATTTGTAATTAGTGATATAAAACTTTAATGAATGGCATTTTTTGTAACCTTATTTTGACATAATGCATTGCCTCATTCTGTCAATGGTCAGCTTTATTTTGAAGTGCCATGGAAAATTTCATAATTGTATTGAACTGTGAAGAGATTTTTTTCAATTTGTTGTGAAAGGCCAGAAACATATATTTTTCAGCTTGAATTGTTTGGCATCACAGGTTTTTTTTTGCTCATCTTCAAAGTTTCAAATTCTTGCTCCCACAATTTTTTTTTCTTTTAGATATTAATCTTCCTCTATGAAAAAAACCAAACAAACAGCCCTTCATTTTTTGAAATAAAAATATGATTTTCAAGGTACTTTGCTCATCTCTGCTCAGAGTTATCCTTATTAGTAATTCTGACACAGTTTTGTAATATTCAGTATTTGGTCCTTGTACTATTAAGTCAAATTCTGTTTTTATACTTCCCTTGGTGAATTTCTTACTGTGTGATGGAATTGTTTTATGTTCTGTGTGGATGGTTTTAGAGCTAGAAATGAGAATCTTTCCTGATAAATAGTAAGCAAGGGTTACCCTGGAGACATCTTGTGACAGCAGAACATCGGCATCATTGAGGAAGGAGAAAGTTTGCATTTGTCAATAATGGTTTACTTATTCACTTTTGTAAAAAAAAAAATGCAGTGAGGGAAGGGGGGCATTTTTAATATTTATACTTTAATATCATACCATCATTGGATGAAGAAAAGCTGGAATATTTATGACATACAGAATTATTAACATATACCCAGTAACCCTTGAAATATGTAGAAAAATAATGTGTAAATTGTTCAGGTTACATAATTACCAGTATTCATTGCAGGCTTGCAGCAGCATAATAATTTTAAGTCAAGTATTTCCAAACCCATTTTTTAATGTCCTCAAAGATATTGAGTCCTTACAAATCAAAGGAGAGCTTTTGAGACCCAGAAAGGTTTCATAATATCCTTACTTTAAAGGAAGAGAGTAAAATAGCAGTTATTGGATGTACAGATTAACCTGAAAATAGATTTACAAAATATGAAACACCAAAAATGAGAAATTTCCTTCCAAGAAAGAGAAAGATAGAAAATTAAGTGAATCCAGAATGTTTAAACTCAGATTGAAATGATGCATCTTACTAAATATTGATCTAAATGTGGAATACCAAGATCAGGAATTTTTTTTATATAAAGTCAGAAACAGATAGCAGATTTAGAATTTTTACCTCAGATTAATATGATGCATTCTCAACATTTTACAGATATTGATCAGTTTTTGATTTTAATTTACATTTTTTTTTTCTTGTTCTATTCTAGCTGAGTGAAATATTTTTCTCTCAAAGCTTTTTTCGTTCATTGAAAGATACTCCAAGGTACAAAAAGTGTTGTGGATTATTGACAGTATTTTCAATTGGATCATTAAATATTAATCATCTTGCAAGCAAAATGGAAAGAATTTAGATTAAAAGTCAAATTCTTTAAAAATTGGAAGTTAAAATGACAATTCTTCTATTCTAGCTTTCAAGGTTTATAGAATTTAAAAACTTGCAAAGTTCAGGTAATTTTTCACAAAAAGTTGAATATTGTGAATAATTTCAAATATACCCCCCTCCCCTTCCAAAAAATGGAAAGAAATGGAAGGGGATGCAAGAAAATGATCTGCATGCATATGTATAGTTGTCATAATCTTACACTGCAGATTGACTTGGTCCTTTTTTGTTATGGATATTTTTCACTGTATACCATTGTTTTATTGGATCTGTGATCAATTCTGACTCTGTTGACCATTATCTTTGTCATGCATGCAATTCAGGTTTCAATCTATTGAGACAGCTATCACTGTCTTCTCTTCTTGAGGAGAGCAGATGAATGTCTTCAAAAATGTCACTGGAAGATGCCAGTTGGTAGAACTTATTTGTATTGGTTAAGAATATTAAGTGCTGAGCATTCAAAGGACATTGTACCCTCAAATTGGCAGAAATATGGCTAACGAGCAACCAGGGGTTGATACTTCATATTCAGCATATTTTGATCTCTCCATATTTATAGAATATTAGTTGAATCGATCTAAATAGCATTTCTACATGTAAATGTCAATCCCGAATTTGACTGGAGTGGCAATTGGAGCCATGTATTGTGAAAACCTTTTATTTCTTGCTTAATTTTCTTTATTTGGACTTGTCAGTTCTCTGGAGTATATTTAGACTCGGTCAAGTTTAAGTTTACAAATTGATTCTATTTGTATTAATTGTCTCAAATGCTACATGAAATTTGGAGTGTCTTGACACTTGGGTTTCAATGAACTGACAGCTATATGGATTATGGAATACTGTATGAAATTCCATTAAGAATTTTCTAACATTTGTTTCCCATTCTGAAAGTTCACATTTATTACTAGCAATCCATGTTGACTTGTTTGACTTTTTTAGGAGGAAAAAAAGTTGAGAAAGTTTTTGTAATGAATGATGTGCTTTAGATTTTTATTTTTTGTATGAAAATGAAGTGATTTCAATAAAATGTTGAGTGATATACAGTTAAAATTATTTGCTATCTCAAACTTGAGAGGACTGAGATATTGGGGTTAAAATAAATAAAAAATATAGTTTGGGACTTCCAACTCACTTCAACATATCAAAGATATTCAAGATTATAACATCAGAGATACTGAAGTTCAATTGATTTGACTCATTTTTTGTCTCACCTACATCCATTTCCAAAGACCTATCCCTTCGTTATGCTGATATCGATATCTGCATTAAGTCTGACTCTGCAGTAGCAAATTTAGTGTTTATAAGATCAAGTCTCTTCGTATATTTTTAATTTTAAAAGTAAATAGGAAAAAAAACCCAATCAAATTGAAAAGATTCCTTAAAACAAGAAAGAGATTTAGAACAACTGATGAGGAATTCAAACTTTCGAATTAATACACTGGTTTTCATGTCTCAGTTGCAAGCAGTTTCAAACGGTCTAATTTTAATTACTATACTTTTAGTTTATTTTGAAATTAAAAATAATTCTGTTCTTTCATCATGTTCATCAATTTAATTGCTAAAAAATTATTAGGAAATAAGGAATAATGAATTTACAAGCTTCCTCTAAATGTAACATGAATCTCATAAAAATTAAACATATTAATGCTGTTGATTGTCAGATCAAAGTATAATCATGCCCATTTTTGATAACACTGAGAGCCTGTAAAATCTGTATAACAGCTAAATTGTTGATCATTGTTTGTGTTATAAGCCATGAGTGGCCATAAACACGGTTTGCTTCAGATCCTAGAAACACAGAACACAGGTTTCATTCATCCAGGGTTTACAATGATATAAAAAAAATGTTTAATAATACGCTAATGGAGGAAGAAGGTGACAAATATTCCTGGTTATTGAAACAAGGCTAGTGTATTTGTATTTGGAAGCATCACAAAACCAGAGGAAAATCAATCTAGGCCATTGTCATATGCCGCTTCATATTTATTGAAAATTGCAATATGTTTATCATTGATCCAGGTTATGATTACGTTTATTGATTCTAGTTTTCGAAAAATAATGAGGAAGAACTCTCTGACAGAAAACTCATTTGTTAATTCCCTAAAATTTATGAGTTTTTTTTGTAATTACAAAGCTGCAAGCTTTGTCCTTGTATGTATTTTATAGCTAATTACCAGAAAATATTGATTACAGGGGAAGTATTTATTCAAAATCAAATTTTCAAAAGAATTAATTAGTGAAATTATATAATTATTTATTGAAGTAATTTATAGATTAATCAATAAAAGATAAGTAGTTTTTACAAGATTTAAGTCGTATAAGCTTCTTGCTCATCGGGATATTTGTCTGGAAGGTCTGTGTTGTCAAGGGTATATGTGGACTTGAGGATAAAAGCTTTTTTCCAATTAAAATAATTTCTTTTTTTTTTTTTATTAGAAGAGGTTGGTTAAACTTGTTCTCTTTAATTGCTTATTCTTTTTTTTGAGAGTATTTCATGTGGAACATGACATGGTACATGGAACTCCATGCACCCATCGTCAATTCAAGTTCAAGTTCATTTATTCTCTCAAAACCATTTTAAATATATGGTACATGAGGACAATGAAAAATGTTTATACAGCATATAAATTCAGGTCAGAGGTATAAGTATATGATATACATAATCAGAAAATGAAATGGGAGAGGAAGAAAAATACATATAATACTTGTAATAATGAAATAAATGAGGGGGGAAAATCATGGAGGACAGATTAAATCATATTATATTTTCAATATAGACATACAGTGTTCTTTAACGTCTTAGGATCTTGTTTTGTCATCAGGTGAAAAAATATAAGAAAATATTTGGTCTAGTTAAGAAGTATTCATTAATATACTTTTTCCTAATGTTTGACTATACTGTACATTCAAGTATAAAATGGAATTCGTTGGCAACATGTTTAGCATTACAATTATAATGTACATAATCTTTTATTTAATGGTATAAATGCCTATCTTCCCATCTCAGATGGTAGAAGGTTGATTTGTAGTACAGAATTTGACAAATATTATTCTAAATTTTAATGGCAAAATACTTACCGTAAATAATTTTCACATACAAAATTTTTTTTAGAAGTTTACACACAATACCTTAAGATGAACTATTAATATCCGAGTGCCATTTTTGTATAAAATGATCCTGTAATATAAGGCTGCAGATTTAGACCAATAATTGCTGATGAGCAGTGAGGGATCTTTTTTATGGGCAGTATATTTGCAACAACACTGGACCAAATGATTTATACTGTCTGGAAAGAATGGCTACAAACTTTTCTTGGAAGGACAAACTTCTTACTCAGTACCTAAAGAAAAACTATTATCACATATCAAAGAAGCAACATACAATCCTTAATTTCATATAGCAATACCATGCCTGTTCACCCTTCCCCTTTTGGCGTAATTCTTCCCGTACATTAAACAAACAAAATACTCTGTTTAATTCACCATAAATGTATTATATTTTATGCTTGTCAAGTTGTTTTTATGCCTAGAAAGTTGCATTATTTTTGTTGAGTACATGCAATTTTAATGTATTCCTGTTATACAAGTTAACTACATTGCAGCATTTACCCGGTAATTTGAGCGATTCTGGTGGCTACTATATGCATGATATGTCAAAGAGAAGATGAAAAAGACTACCTGGTATTAAGTATTAAATGAGTGTTATGACTCTGTTAGTTGTGATAATGGCAAGCAACAGATTACTTCATGAAGAGGTTAAGGTTAAGAGAAGGTTTTTGGATTTGTTTTGATGTTAGGATCCCATTGTAAACAAATTAAAATTTGAATAAATAAAACATGTTAATTAAATAAAAAGTTTTTAACTTCCTCTACACTTTGATTATTACATGTATTGTTACCACTTAATAGAGTTACTTATATAGAAAATTTCATTGGGAGGAAATAAAATGACCAAATAGGACAAGTGACCGCTGGATAGAGGTGACCGCTATGAAAAGTTTGACTGTGTATTATACAGTCATATTCTTTTTATTATACCCTATGCAACAAGTTGCGTGATTATACCCTACACAACAAGTTGCATGAGGTATAATATTTTTTACCCATCCGTCAGTCAGTCATTCAGTCCGTCAGTCCTGTTTTTTTTGTCAGCGCAACTCCTCATAAACCCTGCACGGAATTTGGTCAAATTTTGCAGATAATTAGGACACAAAGTGTAGATGTGCATATTACCAGAAAATTCTGATTCCTTTACTTTTTTCCAGGAATTTCTGCACTTTCCAACTTAGATTTTTGGCCATATCCTGAATATAGAGATGAACAGTTCGTCAGCGCAACTCCTCATAAACCACTGCACAGAATTTGGTCAAATTTTGCAAACATTTAGGATACAATGTGTATATGTGGATATTACTAGGAAATTCCGATTCCTTCATATTTTCGGGAATTTCCACACTTTAACACTTAGATTTTTGGCTATATCTTGAATATAGAGATGAACAGTTTGTCAGCGCAACTCCTCATAAACCGCTGCACACAACTTTGTCAAACTTTGCAGATATTTAGGACAGAATGTGTAGATGTGCATATTACCAGGAAATTCCGATTCCTTTATTTTTTCCAGGAATTTCCACACTTTTACACTTAGATTTTTGGTCATATCTTGAATATAGAGATGAATAGTTTGTCAGTGCAACTCCTCATAAACTGCTGCACAGAATTTTGTCAAACTTTGCAGACATTTACGACACATTGTGTAAATGTGCATATTACCAGGAAATTCCGATTCCTTCATATTTTCTGGAATTTCCACACTTTTCAACTTAGATTTTTAGCTTCATCTTGAATATAGAGATGAACTGTTTGTCAGCACAACTCCTCATAAACCGCTGCACACAATTTTGTCAAACTTAGCAGATATTAAGGACACATTGTGTAGATGTGCACTTACCAGGAAATTCCGATTTCTTTATTTTTTTCTGGGAATCTCAGCACTTCAACTTTTGGGGGAGTGTGTGGTATGTGAGCTTGCTCACTTTTTCTTTCATCATATAATGGCCATAGAATGAACTTTATTTTGGAGGGGGGGGGGTTATTATAAGAAACTTGGTGACTGGGAAATGATGGAATTTTTACTGATAAATACAATTTTATTTATTCACAAGTATTTTAATCAAGTTTGTGTATAAAATCGAGATCGTTTGGCAGAAGGCTATTTTGATGCAACTTGCGTTCCCTACATCTCTCTTAAATTTGCCCTATTGTCCCCCGGCCCACATGACAACTTTTGTTTACAAAGTTTAGTTGATGTGCTCATATTTTTGAGAAAGTGAATTTTCACCATTTCCCGATATGAATTAATATAGCAAATTCTTCTAACACAAATATGGAAATGTATCCATTGAACTTGAGTACTAAACAAACAACTGAATGTGAATTTGATACATTAGAGAGTGTATGTCATTTTATACTGTATACATATACTTCAGGGACAAATAGAGCAGCATATCCAACATCTCAGATAAATTCCACTTAATGGAGTGAACTATTGATCCTTGTTTGTAGAAGCATAAGTCTTATGCAGAAATTTGGGATTATTCCAACTCTAAATTGCATCAAAATTTGGTTGGTATTGAGGGTGGATTACAGAAGAAATCAATGGGATCAAGAACCATTTCCGTGTGTATCCCCACTTTGCAAGCTATATAGTGCCCAGTCCCAGTGGGGACAACAGACAAACAGTGCAATTGCCACATTTTGCAATTCCAGTGGGCCATCAAGATGTAATGCCCACACCTACTGAGAGAATAATGGAAGGAGTTTCACAAGAAATTGATCTACATTGCCAGCTATTAGATGTAGCGATTATACACTTCAGACTGGTTTGATATGCCTTCATATAGCCTGTGTACCACTTAATTACTGGTCTGATGTAACATGGCAATGTCTAATTCCAAATCATACCTTCAATGATTGTGTAAGAGCATTTAGGTCTTAATTTATAGTACCTTTACCCTTTAATTATTCAGAAAGTGAGAATGGAAGCTTTCAATGTATCAATATTTTATACAGTCTTGAAGTATACTTCAGACATACAGTTGCATAAAATCAAATATCTTAATGAATATTTTAACATATTCTGAGCTGAGGAATGCTATAAAATGTATTTCATGCCATTGCAATTCATGTATATTCACTGTCAGTGAGAAAGAGAAAAAATTTATTTGCAATTAATTTGATAAATTAGTTAGACTGGCTACAATTTTCCTATTGCAAGTCTTGCTATGGAGTTGTACCCTAAGGGAAAAGAAAATATTTGCCCAGTGCATGAACACCATGCAAAAACAGTAAACTCGACGCATCATTTTCCTTGAAGCAAAACTAAAAAAATCTAATAATCACAATTTCAGCTTTGCTTATACAGTACTTAAGTAAGTTAATTTTGAAATTTCATTCAATAAAAGTTTGAAATTAATCTAGGCTCCTACAGTAAAACCTGAGTTAACTGGCAGTTGTGAAAATAATGTATAAATTCTGGAAGACCATAAAATTTGGGGCTTTTTTCCACAATTATTTTTATCTATCACATCTGTTTATCTATCTTTATTTTAAAATTTCAGGTGTCTTTCATTACACAGAAGTTGTAGAGGATGCAGAAGGAAGTGCTTTCTTTGATCAGGTAAGCCACCATTCAAAGTACAGTTGAATCTGAATATTTTGACATATCTATATCTGAATCATGGATTTATGTCAAAGAAAGTTACAAGTCCCAATCACTTTCTGTTTAGGTAATTTCATCTTGGAATCTAGAATCTTCAGATATATTGAAGTTTTTCCTTGGTCTATCAAGTTCAAAATAATGAGAATTAGGTTGATTGTATGTCAGTTTCTGTACTTTTCCTTTCAATCAAATTAAGGCTTAAGATTGCATTCACTAGAAAATTTTATGGATAGTATCTGCAAGCTCTGCACAATTATAGAGCCTTTATCAAATTGGAATTGTTCTCATCCAGTCTTGGTTCTGATTGGAATTTAAATAAACTGATGGACTAGCTGAGGCTGATTTTCTTTTATTTGTACAAGGTAAAAATCACCTTGAAAAAATGGGCACTATTCTGGGTGACAAATTTTATAGCAAATGGGCATAACATTAGTATGCCCTAAACACGATGTGCAGGTTTCACTGTAATGCTAAAAGTGTTAAAGTCTAGAGATTTGATTATGCTCATATTCCAAAAAAAGCAAACAGAGAAACCTCAATGAATAAAAGATGCCATTGCAAGAGGGGGTGTTATTGGGAGATAGACAGTGCTTTAGGGGGCAGTTAGAATGCTTCCTTGTGTCAGAGTGATGGGGAGGGGCATAGAGCACTGTCAGAGCTGGAGGAGGAGAATTCTACTTAAAGAAGAAGAGTGCTATTGGGAGGAGGAGATTACTATTGGAAGATTGGAAATGCAATTGGGAAAGGAGAGTGCTGCTGAAGATAGTGTTATTAAGGAAATTGTGGAATAAAAGATACCATAGAGTCTGCCACAACTGTTACATATTTGGATGTTTTACTGACTATAGATGAAAAAGGCCAATTAACAGTTAAGCTGTATGACAAACAAGATAACTCCAGCTTTTCAATCATCAGCTTCCCTTATTTATGTAGTAATGTCTATCGCTTGTTGGTGATATGATGTTTATGTCTCCCAACTTATTCACTAGGCTACTCTAAAGCATTCTCTGAGTATGATCAATTTTTGAACTAAGGCAGGCTACTGACACATAAGTGAATATCACTGACTCATATCATATTTTGTTTCATAACAATTGATTGCTTGGCTTTTGTACTTGATTATTGAATGTTCTGTCTACATCAATACATAGGGCTCACAGGTGTGACTGGTCAACAGAGGTTGCTTACTCCTTCTAGGCACCTGATCCCATCTCTAGAATTTCAGGGGATCAATGATCATGTCCTATACACAGAATTGTATTGTTTGTAGCTTTTATGAGATTGACCAGTGTTTGTTATCTTCTTTTTCATTCAAGGCAAAAACATCTATTCTATATAAGCACACTACATGGAAGTTATTCCAGTTTTAATACAAGCATATTGGTCAGTTGATTTAGTATACAGTTTTTGTTACTTTCTTAACAAGTTCTAGAGTACACTGGAGACCTGAGTACATACTGCCCTCCATTGCACTCTAGGACTTGCTTTGAAACAGGTAAAGTTCACTGCTGATTGTTTATTTTTTATGCAGACTTTCCAGTGGCCTGTGGCTAGGCCCATTGAAAAAGATGAGGTCATTGAAATCCAGCTTTTCAACTACAACAGATACCTGTCCAACAGGTAGGTATAAATTCAATTAAAGATGATACTAAATCCATTGACTGAATCAATGGACAACCTTTTTTATATGCCTCCCAGCATGATAAACTGCAGTCTATGTTTAGAAGTTGGATCTATATGTGAGGGGTCTCCAGAGGTTTTATTTATGTAGATTGATTGCTTCCCATTGAGGTCTTGATGTGTTTATTTCATGTTGCTGAATTGATACACATTTTATCAGCATCTGAATAAATTTGTAGGTGTGTCTGATGTTTGGCAAAAATCTGAAAAAATGTTACATTTATGTAAACATGTGAATTGATAATCATTGCCTTTGATAATAGAAAGCAATAGTTTCATTATTGATCAAGAATGTGGATGAATACAGTTATCACTGTGTCCATCTGACCATATAGTAATTAACACTTTCGTAACTTAACAATTTTAGTACTTTACAACATATAGGTCAACTTGAATTCTACTACATTAGTTGATTAGGATGGTAAAATAGCTAAAAATACACCTATACATTTTTTGGAGTTATTTGGTGAAAGGTCAAAATCATTGTTAATTTTTCAACCTACAGATATTTTTTATATACTTAGGTGGAGAGTGTCTTGTAAAAGATGCCTATTTATTTTGGAATCATTTTATGAAGGCCAAGGTTATTTTACATGACCACTGTTATGCAATGGATATGATGTTTGTTTAGCAAATCCATTTTTTTTAACAAAGAAAAAAAAAAAAGGAATGAAGACATATCTTTTATTTTGGTTGTTTCTCTAACTTAAAAGTAAAGTCTAGTAATTCAGAGTATTGATATAGCTAATCTCGTACATATTTAGATTCCAGTAAACCAAAAAGACAGATTTTTTTGGTCCAAAGTAAAACAGATTTCATTATTTGGAAAAAAAATGGTTAGAGGAAGAGAAAGCTTGTAGACCAATTTTCATGTAGGTTTTGTACGATTTAAAGATAATATAAATTTTGAGGCATTTGCTTTAAGGTCGATGGGTATATGCACAGGGAGGCCCAGATAAAGAGGTTTAACTGTATTACTTTTTTTCAGTTTCCAAGTTTTCAGCGAAACTTAGAGATGGAATTTGTTGTTCAATTTTTTTCATCAATGGCTTTGAAAGGTCTACTGACCATTCTTTCGTTAGCAATTTGTTTTTCTTTGAATTTGTTTTGAATATGAAATTAACTTGTACTGTGATTAATCAAAATCTAGAGTTGGTGTTATATTGCCATCTAAAGAGGAATATTTATGTAGTAGTGTAAGATATAAGGCATCCTACTTGCTTGGGCTAGTGGGTTAACCCTTTAGCTCAATTGGTAGAGCACTGGACTGGCAAGTCAGAGCCGCCTGGGGTTCAATCCCCAGTGAGGCACAAAATTGTCTCTATTACTTTTAGAAGGATTTCCTTGTTTATCAACCCTGCCTCTGTTTGATTCTAGGTTGGTTGGAATGTTCCGGATGTTCCTACAGGAACTGGTGGAGGTGGGAAATGTCAAAATCTGTGACTCTTTGTTGGACAGCCATAATGTGGTCATGAAGGTGAGTTATGAATAGTATCAGAGCACCGAAGCCTTCTCAGAAGTGTGTAGATGGATAATTTCTAATTTTGTTTGGCCAGAGTCTATGACACTCTTGAGGGGGAATCTGCTAATTAGATAGAAGTGTTGGAAGCTCGTTGAATTAAATCTTAAGTGGTACGTTCTCTGGACTCTAATTACCAGCTAATGATGACAGCATTTTTTATCCTAAAAATGTTTGCTAAAAAAAAAATGTTCTGTCAGATGTGTCAGAATTTATCCTGACACAATAACAATGCATTTTTAGCTCTACTGGTCAGAGACCAGAAGAGCTTATGCGATAGTCTACTGACCGTCCGTCTGTCTGTCTGTCTGCAATGTCTGTCTGTCTGTCCGTCTGTCTGTAAACAATTTTTCAAAACGCTACTCCTCCTACAGTTTTGGTCTGATTTCAATATAACTTAGCACACAAGTAGACTACACTAAGATACATAGAATAGTGCATCGGTTTTTGATTTCGATGAACTTTGTTGCCATGGTTACTAAAAATAGAATTTTCTGTGAAATTCCTTAAAAACGCTACTCCTTCTACAGTTTTGGTCTGATTTCAATATAACTTGGCACACAAGTAGACTACACTAAGATACATAGAATAGTGCATCGGTTTTTGATTTCGTTGAACGGTGTTGCCATGGTTACTAAAAATAGAATTTTCTGTGAAATTTCTTAAAAACGCTACTCTTTCTACAGTTTTGGTCTGATTTCAATATAACTTGGCACACAAATAGACTACACTAAGATACATAGGATAGTGCATCAGTTTTTGATTTTGATGAACGGTGTTACCATGGTTACTAAAAATAGAATTTTCTGTGAAATTCCTTTAAAACGCTACTCCTTCTTCATTTTTGGTCTGATTTCTATATTACTTGGCACTCAAGTAGACTACACTGAGATACATGAAATAGTGCATCGGTTTTTGATTTTGATGAACGATGTTGCCGTGGTTACTAAAAATAGAATTTTCTGTGAAATTCCTTTAAAACACTACTCCTTCTTCATTTTTGGTCTGATTTCAATATACCTTGGCACGCAAGTAGACTACACAAAGATACATAAATTAGTGCATCAGTTTTTTGATTTCGATGAATGGTGTTGCCATTGTTACTAAAAATAGAAATGTCTGTGAAATTCCTTTAAAATGCTACTCCTTCTAAAGTTTTGGTCTGATGGCAATGGCTCCTTTTTACTCATCCTTTGTTATAAGTACAAACCAGTAGAGCTTCAGTCTCGACAGAGACTTCTGGTTATTATATCCAGTACATTTCCTTGAATATTTTGAGTTTTGTCAATTTTATACAATATTTTGTCAGTTGAATAAGTTATGTCATATGAAAACTATATCTATTCTATTCGCCTCAATGCATGATTCAGTTAATGAATATTGTGTACAGTGCAGGCTACAGTTAAACAGAGCTTAGGATGAGCAAATACACAGATGCCTTATGCACCACAGGACATTAGACGCTATCATACAATGACATACATGTATTTATGGGTGTTCTTAGCACTTAGCCTCTGTATAGTGATAGTCCTTTAATGATGAAAAGCATCTATTGGGATTCATTTCCAGCCTCTGTATAGTGATAGTCCTTTAATGATGAAAAGCATCTATTGGGATTCATTTCCAGAATTAACTGTAGTTCTAAATTTCAAACAGATTCACATAGTGAGCACCCTTATGGATGACGTGGGTAATTTTGCCAATATAAAGATGGAATGTGTCGTGACAGTCCATTCAGTTATGTCACTACTGTGTACCGGTATATTTGTGAAGCCAATCAAGCAGATTATTACTGTAAAATGGGAAACACTCATATGTAGAAAAAAAAACACATTTGCTTTCTCTCAGCATCAGAGAAACTTCTGAATATATTGGAGATGGACCCACGTGAATTAGAAAAAAGATGAAATAAAGGATGAGAAAATACTGAATGATTTATAGGAGTGCGGAATTGTTGATTGGAGTTGACATGCTGGAAGTTTTTGATGACTTGATGCACACATCTTGTTCAGTGAATGAAGAGAGAGAGGGTGTTATATCGACTCAGAGTCGGGAGCGATTAATTGACATGATGACCAGAAAAAATCGTAATTGTCACCTGATGAGGACAATTTGTGGATGTCACCCATTCTTACGGTGATATCATTAAGTTCACACATGAATACTGTTTGACTGATACGGGTAATCCTTTCTGGTCTGATCAATATTAATTTGGCAGGTCCCATCCAGACACTGTAGATTATAATTGCTACCGAAACGGAAAACAATTAGCTAAAATCCCTACAGATAATAAGGATTCTCAAGCATATTCTGTTTTTCCTCCACACACCTTAATCAGAGTCTCCTAGAATTGTCTTTCCAAGTAGATAAAATGGACTAAGGATTTATCGCCCACGTCTCTCATAAAAAAATCTTTAATGTTTTCCAAATGGCATCAATACATGTATCTGTCAGCAAACTTAAACTCTATCACTTAAGTATAATTCAATTTTAAATGTCCTTTTCAAATGTTTGCCTTTTATTTCTTCATCCCACAATAATTCTTGTCACACGATAATAATAATGAATATCCCTTTTTCTGCTGTTATTCTTTATTTTGACTTCATTTTATTGACAATTAAAATGCTCTATCATGTTGATTTAAATGTCAAGTCCTTGTTCTTCAGTATTGAATCACAGTTTCCTTCAACAGAAATAATAAATAAATAAAATAATAATAATATTAGGGATGTCAAATCGGTCAATTTTTGATACTCGGTTACTCGGACGTTTTTCCGATCGAGTACCCGGGTACTCGGTAAAAGTGTAAATAAATATGAACAAGTTAATTGATAACTGTAAAACATTGTAAACTCTTGTAGAAATAAAACCGATGGGAGGTTACCTGCAAATGCGTTGTAACAATTATGACCACTTTGTAACCGACGAAATTTAATCTAACATTTTTTTAAGTTCAATTTATTTATCAGACAAATACGAGAAATAAAATCAGAAATGGTTCACAGTGTTTTTGTTTAAAAAATAATCTGTTCCGTAATTGTAATGTAACTCTTTGGTGCGTTTGATGTCCAAGTGATAAGTTGTCTGAGCTATATGTACGGTACAAACTTGATCAAGTTATCCTATAACAGAGCGGATTTATACGATCTTCGTACACTTTTTGATCCTAGATTTCATAGAATTACGATACGGTATGTTGTAGTTTAGAGCAACGATGGACATAAGATTTTTAAAGCATTTGCATTAATTGGCATGTAATCAAATGCATCCAAATCAACAATCGCACGTGCAATATCGTCTGTCTCTTTCCCGAGAATTTACGGCTTCTTGGAGAATTGACAAAATTATTAAATTTGTTTAAATATAATGGACCTTAAACGATGTTCAATGAAAACAAATAATTAAAGCAAACTAAATATAAGGGAAGACGACAGTCGAAGGTGAGAAAAGCCCGGGTAGGTACATCAGGTGTTTGGTCACGATAATTACTGTATAAACACTGCCACAGGCGATAACGGTCATTTAGAGGCATAGGAAACCCTAATTACTGTATGTACAAGTGCAATGAACATTTTACGTTTTAAAACCGATGTTTTAATGCATTAATAAATAAGCTTAGAAATATTTAAAAATATACATCCGAGTAACCGAGTACCGATTTTAGTATTCGATACTCGGACTGTTTGGATTTGAATGAGTACCCGGTTAACCGGGTACTCGTTGACATCCCTAAATAATATATATTTTTTCATTACCATTTTGCCTCAACATCTACTAGTAATTAAATCCATTATTGAACAGGCTACTTTCTAAGTAACTTTTACATATTACACTGTTACATTGTTAAGAGATCATGAAACTATACTGAAACTCTGGAAAAAATAGTTTTCTTCATTGTTTTTAGTATTTTTTTTAGATTAAAATATAAATTTGCTACATTGGAAAAATAGAATATCATGAATTTGAATTTCTTTTCAATTTTGAATACTAATTATGACCTGTGCCCAAAATGTTGACCTCTTTGCCCACTCATGTAGACCTCTTTGCTCACTTATTGTTAACCTTTTTGCTCACTTATTGTTGACCTCTGCCCACAAATTGTAGACCTCTTTAAGAACTCATTGTTGACCTCTATGCCCACTCATTGTTGGCCTCTTTGACTCTCTGTCCACTCATTGTTAACCTCTTTGACACTGCCCACTCATTTTAAACCTCTTTGACTCTCTGCCCACTCATTGAAGACTTCTCTGCTCACTCATTGTTGACATCTTTGCCCACTTTTTGACCTCTTTCACTCTGCCCACTCATTGTTGACCTCTTTGCTCACTCAGTGTAGACCTCTTTTCCCATGTATTGTTGGCCTCTTTCCAACTCTGTTGACCTCTTCCTCCTCATTGTAACCTATGCCCACTTATTGTAGACCTCTTTGCCCACTCATTATTGACATCTGCCCACTCATTGTGGACCTCTTTGCCCATTTATTGTAAACCTCTTTGCCCATTTATTGTAGACCTCTTTGCCCACTTATTGTTGACCTTTTTGCCCAGTTATTGTATACCTCTTTTCCCACTGATTGTTGTCACCTCTTTGCCCATTAATTGCAGACCTCTTTGACTCTCTGCCCACTCATTGTGAACCGCTTTGACTCCCTGCCTACTCATTGTAGACTTCTCTGCTCACATCTTTGCCCAGTTATTATTGACCTCTTTGACTCTGCCCACTCATTGTAGACCTCTTTGTCCATGTACTTTTGGACTCTTTCCCACTAATTCTAGACCTCTGTCCACTTATTACAGACATCGTTGGCCACTCATTGTTTCCCTGTCTTCCCAGTCACTGTAGACCTCTTTGCCCACTCATTATTGCCCTCTTTTCCCACTCATTATAGACCTCTGCCCACTCATTGTTAACCTCTTTGTCTCTGAACACTCATTGTAGACTTCTCTGCCCACTCATTG